GTGTGTGTGTGTGTGTGTGTGTGTGTGTGTGTGTGTGTGTGTGTGTGTGTGTGTATATAAATATAATTAAAGGTTTTTTTAAAAGGAAAATAAAAACGAATACAAGCTAATAGAGAAGAAGAAGAGAAGAAAAAGAAATTTTTTAAAAAAAAAAGCTAAGAGTGCAAGAAAGGAAAAAATATATATATACACAAAGCAGTGGCTCCCGATCTTCTTTCCAACAGCTATACGTGCAATTATAAATTTATCTCTTGTTCTGTGGCTACAACATAACTCTCTTCTTTCTGATCATCAAAACCATAAACCATAAGTTCATTTTTTTTTTCTGTTTCACACAAAAAGTCCCTAAAGGGTTTCCAGTCAGCAATAAATGTAGATATTGTCTTGTCTTTGATCAAAAAAGTCAGTGTGGCCATCTCAGCAAGTTCCATCATCTTCACCAAGGAGACCAAGTTTTTCTTGTTGCTAAACTGTTGGAGGGTTCACACAACATGGTTCATCCAAGTCCCTTAAAAACCTCTCGGCTGTGTTCATACCACACGCTGGTTTTGTTTAGGGTTTTGTGGCTTCTCATGCTGTGTGGATGCAGCTGGTTTGGTGAATGGCTGGTTTGGTAAGGCCGGTGAATCCAGAAAATAGCTCCATTTAGAGCCCAGCCTATTAGGACCATGTGCAGGTCGGTCAAGCAATAAATAGCTTACCCCTGCAGTTGTTTAATGTGTTGTGGGGATCTGGAATGCCGGCTTGTTCCTGGTTTGTATGAACTGCTAAGGCAGAAGTGGGCAACCTGTAGACTTTCCTTGGTGATCTCTGGTTTTCCTTCAAGCTCTGGATGGCAGCCACACAGTTTCTGAAACTTGGTGGCCCTGTTCTCCATCATTTGGAGGCAGGCAGTGCATAGTACCAGAATTGGAAGGGGCCCTTGAGGCCATCTGAACCACCCCTTAGTGTAGGAATCTGACTTAAAGCATCCCTGGCAGGGATCAATTTAGCCTCCACTCAAGCACACCCCAGGCAGAGAAGCCGACCACCTCTGTAGGTCCTTGGTTCCACTGTCCAATTTAACTCTTCCCGTTAGGAACTTCTTTTGAAAATTTAACTGGAATCGTCTGTCCACCATCTGCAGATCTGCTCAGCGTCCTCTTTCCCTTTTCTTCCAAATGGTCAAGATATTAAAGTCCAGGGCCTGGAATGAATCTTGTAGAACCCCACACAACTCTCTCTGCAGCTCGATGAGCAACCATCGATGAAAACAAGGTTCAAGCCCGCCATGCATCCGCTTGTTCTCTGCAGTGATTTGCATTCAAGGGGCCCGACATGATTCGGAGTCCGTAGCACTGCCAGGAAGCCTTAAGGCCCCTGAGCTCTTCTCTTGAGCCCCCCCAGCAAGATGCCCCTTGCAGGGTCAGTGTGCTCCGTCACGCCATAGACTGGCTGACTGATTAAAAGCCACGGGTGGCTTGGTGAGATGGTTTGCATGCTGCATTAAGCCAAAGCAAACCACATTATGGCTTCGACTGCTCTGCAAATGTGGCCCAGGACTCTTGCTCTGCCTTAGGACTGTTCTGTGACCTCGAGACGAGACGTCCTTTCAATCCAGGGAAAGGATTTCAAGAAACCGTTGAGTTTTCTGCATTTGGGTGGAAGTGGGAGATGCGTACTGGATAGGCTGGGTCTGCACTACTGGCTAAAATGTGGTTAACATTGGACCTAAGTCAAAGCAAACCAAACAATGACTTAGCACAGTAGTCTGAAGCACACCCTACACTAGAATATAGGAGTTTGATTGTGGCTTTGGGTGTTAAATATAGTGTATGTTTTTATGCCGCTCTGCAAATGCCACCGCTGTATGAGTTACGGAGTTGAGCTGAGTCTAGCCATGTGGGGTATCGTTTAACTAAAATGTGAAAGGCGGTTAAGTGGCCCAGTCAGTGAAACTTAATCATTCATCAGCTGTGATAGTACCACAGCCCCATGATTAACTTAACCATAGTTTAATCAACCCCATTTTCTGGGTTCGTGCAGGACACTCACTCATCAACTAACCTCTGGGGTTCACCCAATGCAAATGTCATTGGCTATTGCAGGGTCGTTGTGTTAGAAGCCAACCGTCTCTGCTCCCCCAGAAAACGTTCAAGCCTGTGGGGAGGGGGTTGCAGATCACCTGCTTTGCTGCAGAGGTCCCATCCTAGCCACCTCCAGGTAGAAAGGGTCAAGCCACAAGTGATTGCAAGGGTTTTGCTTCAGGCGCACAGAAGCGAGAGCCAACAAATTATGTGGAGGCATCATTTGGGCAGCTATAAAACAGAGTTGGAAGAGATTTTGCCCCCGCCCTGTGAAGTCATGGGAATCTGCTCAGCATGGGAATCTTGGAGGTTCGGCATCTCTGCCAAAGGGCCATGCAACCTCTGTGTGAATTTCTCTGCAGCAGTGTTTCTCAACCGTGGGAACTTTAAGAGGTGTGGACTTT